CTCCTCGCCCTGACGGACACTCTCCTCTCGCCCGCCTTTCCGCCCTCACCTACTCCCCCTCCTTCAATTTCCCCTCCTCCTGCACTTCCTCCGCATCATCACCCCCTCCCTACCCCTTCCCCGTCCTCGTCCTTCCCCTGCTTCTTCTCCGCGCGCTCCTCCCCTTCCCCCTGGTCGGGGCAACCAAATCGATTTTCCTCGGCGCCGACGCCGCCGCGGCCAAAGCGCGCGCATTCCCCGACGGCTGGTTCGCCAAGCCTTTGGGACAACCCCGCGGGCCGCTGGGGCGCGGGGGCAGGCGGTCGGGACAGCCCCGCGGGCCAAGCCGTTGGGACAACCCCGCGGGCTTCGAGCGGGGCGCAGCCGCGCTCAGGCGGGAGGCAGCATGAACCCAAACCTGGTTCACAATTCACTCACAGACGAGGCTCCCGCTTGATACTTCCTGCAAATTCAAGCCTGGGGAGCCCAAAAGTGACGACAGTCACAAGTTGCCGATGACCCGCTCGGATTACCAACATGAAATGCGGGACCCATAGGGAGGGGGGCTCCCGCCTGAGACTTCCTCACAATTTACTCACAGACGAGGCTCCCGCTTGATACTTCCTCGAAATTCAAGCCTGGGGAGCCCAAAAATGACGACAGTTACATGTTGCCGATGACCCGCTCGGATTACCAACATGAAGTGCGGGACCCATAGGGAGGGGGCTCCCGCCTGAGACTTCCTCACAATTCACTCACAGACGAGGCTCCTGCTTGATACTTCCTCCAGAGGCCTGAGGAGCCCAAAAATGGCGACATTTACAAGTTGACGATGACCCGCTCGGATTACCAACATGAAATGCGGGACCAATTAGGAAGGGGCTCCCGCCTGAGACATCCTCAGAATTCACTCACAGACGATGCTCCCGCTTGATATTTCCTCCGAATTCAAGCCTGAGGAGCCCAAAAGTGACGACAATTACAAGTTGCCGATGGCCCGCTCGGGTTACCAACATGAAATGCGGGACCCATAGGGGTGGGGCTCCCGCATGAGACTTCCTCACAATGCACTCACAAACGAGGCTCCCGCTGGATACGTCCTCGAAATTCAAGCCTGAGAAGCCCACAAGTGACGACAAGTATAGATTGCCGATGACCCGCTCGGATTACCAACATGGAGTGCGGGACCCATAGGGAGGGGGCTCCCGCCTGAGACGTACTCGGGTGGCATAAGCGAATGACGGTGATGAGTGAGTGAGTGAGTGGGTGAATGAGTGAGTGAGTGAATGAGTGGGTGGGTGGGTTGGTGGGTGGGTGGGTGGGTGGGTGAGTGTTGATGATGATGATGATGATGATGATGATGATGATGATGATGATGATGATGATGATGATGATGATGATGATGAGTGGTGGTGATGATGATGATGGTGGTGGTGGCGATGATGGTGATGAGAGGGAGGAGGAGAGATCCTGCGCAGAGGGTGTGCAGAGAAACCACGAACACCATTTAGGATGTGGCGAAACTGGTCCCCAGACTATTTTTACTATTTTTGAATATTCCCCCTGTAGAGGGACAAGCCCGACTTAAGATAAGTGGGGGGGGGGGGGGGCGGGGGCAGGGGCGGAGGGACAGGGAGGGGATGAGCGGGGAGGAAGCGGCGAAGGGGAGGGGGGCAAAGGAGCGAGAGGGAGGGGCATAGCAGGGTGGCCAGCCAGTTCCTAGGATTCCAGCACGAGCGCAAGTGGCTTCGAATCCCAGCGCTTCCGAAACTATCTTCTCCCACTCCGCATCCTTGGAGGTCTAGACTCTGCTGCTGTAGGACTCCGCGGCGCCTGCTTCGCCTTGCCGCGCACCTGCCCTCCAACATGCCCCGAGGTGGCCCGACACGGCCTCCAAGATATTGTCCAATATGGCTTGCGACATAACCCCAAGAGGTCCTGCAATGACCCCAAAGTGGTTCCACCAAACCATCCAAACACCGAGTTCATGATTTCTTATTTTCGGACTCTGGTGGGCCTCACTGGCCCTCAGAGATGCTCAAGAGAAGCCCAGCAGGACCTCGACGAGCACACGAAGAGAGACGCAAGACGGCTCCAGGAGGTTCGGATCTGCCCAACATTGTGCTTTTCTCATCCCTCGTGTTTTCTGGGGCCCTCGTTTTTGAATACGCAGCGCCGCACATCTCCTTCTCCTTCTCCTCCTCCTCCTTCCTCCCCTCCTCCTCCTCGTCCTCCTCCTCCTCCTCCTGCTCCTCCTCCTCCTCCTCCTCGTCGTCCTCCTCCTCCTCCTCCTCCTCCTCCTCCTCCTCTACCTGCCCCCGTCCCCTTCGACACACCTTTCCTCGTCCCCTCCCTGCCCTTGACACTTTCGGTACTTTTTTGGGATCTGCGGCGCCTTGGGTCCAAGCTGCGGTCGAGCTGCAGCTGACCATTTCGGCACATCCCCCGCACGCTTCGCGCCCCGCAGGGAACGCTCCACCTGCCGCCCCAGTGGAAGGGTCCACGTGCGCCCCCCCCCCCCCCCCCGCAGCACATTTTTCGGCACGCCCCCTCACTAAGATCCTGCCACACAGGGGGCTCCACCTCCCGCCTCAGCGAGGGGGCCACCTGCGCCACCCCCCTCGCCCTTTTCTCGGCACACCCCTCACGAGAATTCTGGCCTTCAGGGTAGTCACCTGTCGCCCCATTGGGAGGGCCCACTCATGCCTCCTTCGCCCAATTCGACACACCCCTCACGAGGAACTGGGCCCTTTTAAAGAGCCTGGGGCGCCCACGCGCGTTTGCTCGGCAATCCCCTGTCCGCACTGTTTTGCTGCGACGGGTGCATGAGTAAAGGGCCATACCCTACGCTACGCGCAACTGCTCAGGGTTGGGCCCTTCGCCAGGCCAAACTCCTGCCCAGGAGTGGGGCTGCCCAGATTACGATGAAGATGATGCTGCTGATGATGCTGATGATGATGATGATGATGAGGATGAGAATGATGATGCTGATGATGATAATGATGATGATGCTGATGATGTTGTTGTTGATGGTGATCATGATGATGCTGATGATGATGCTGATGCTGATGTTGATGCTGATGATGATGCCACTGCCGATGCTGCTGATCATGCTGCTGATGATAATGACGATGCTAATTATGGTGATGATGATGCTGATGCTGCTTCTGATGCTGCTGCTACTGATGATTACAATGATGATACTGCTGCTGCTGATGACGATGCTGATTATGATGATGCTGCTGCTGATGATGTTGATGATACATCTGATGAGGATGGTGATGGTGATGTGGATGGTGATGATGATGATGATGCTGCTGGTGCTGATGCTGATGCTGATGCTGATGCCGCTGCTGCTGCTGATGCCGATGGTGATGATGCTGATGATGATGATGATGATGATGAGGATGAGGCTGATGGTGGTGATGATGCTGATGGTGATGATGATGCTGATGATGATGATGTTGATGATGCTGATGATGATGATGATGCTGATGCTGATGCTGATGATGATGATGATGATGATGATGATGATGATGATGATGATGATGACGGTGATGATGATGGTGATGATGATGATGATGATGATGATGCTGTTGCTGCTGATGCTGCTCATGGTTATCATGGTGACAATGATGATGATAAAGAGGAGGACGAGCAAGGATGATGAGGATGGGGAGGAGGAGAAGGAGAAGGAGGAATATGATGCGGATGAGGTTGAGAGGTAGGAAGAGGAGGAGGAGGGGAGAGGGAGAAGGTGAGGAGAGGAGGAGGAGGAGGAGGAGGAGGAGTGAGGAGGAGGAGAGGAGGAGGAGGATGAGAGGAGGAGGAGGAGGAGGAGGAGGGAGAGGAGGAGGAGAGGAGGAGAGAGGAGGAGGAGGAGGATGAGGAGGGAGGAGGATGAGGGAGAGGAGGAGGAGGAGGAGAAGAGGAGGAGGAGGAGGAGGAGGAGGAGGAGGAGGAGGAGGAGGAGGAGGAGGACGAGGAGGAGGAGGAGGAGAGGAGGAGAGGATAAGAGGCGGAGGAGGAGGAGGAGGAGGAGATGAGGAGGAACACAAAGATGATGATGACGATGACGACGATGATGATGATGATGATGATGATGGATGATGATGATGATTGAATGGTAATGATGCTGAGGAGGAGGAGGAGGAGCAGGAGAGGAGGAGGAGGCAGCAGCGGAGCACGATGGATGAGGATGATGATGAGAGGAGTGACGAGAGGAAGAGCGAAGAGCAGGAGGAGGATGAGGAGTAGGAGGAGAGGTAGGAGGAGAGAGGGAGGGCGCGAGGAGGAGGAGGAGGAGGAGGAGGAGGATGCGGGAATGAGGAGGGTGAGGAGGATGGAGGATGATGAGGAGGAGGACGAGGAGGAGGAAAGCGGAAGACGAGGATGGGAAGAGGAGAGGAGAAGGAGGAGGAGGAGGAGGAGGGGGAGGGGGATGATGAGGATGATGAGCAGGAGGGATGATGATGAGGGATGAAGAGGAGGAGGAGGGGGGGGGGGAAGGTGAGAAGGATGAGGCGGAGGATGAGCAGGAGGAGGAGGAAGGGGAATCTGAGACGGAGGATGAGGAGGAGGAGGCGGAGGAGGAGGACGAAGCAGAGGATGATGAGGAGGAGGTTGAGATGTAGGATGATGATGCTGAGGATGAGGATTATGATGATGATGACGATGATGATGATGATGAGGATGATGATGATGCTGATGATGATGATGATGATGCTGATGCTGATCCTGATGATGCTGATGATGCTGATGATGAGGAGGATGAGGAGGAGGAGGCGGAGGAGGAGGAAGAGGGGTAGTAGTAGTAGTAGTAGTAGTAGTAGTAGTAGTAGTAGTCGTAGTCGTAGTCGTAGT